CACTGCACTCCAGTCTGGGCGACAGAGTGAGACTCCAACTCAAAAAAAAAAAATACCTACTTAAAATATATTTTAAATACAATTTTTATTTTGAACTAATTTTAGAAAACTTTAGAATTTCGTAGAGAGAGTTCCCATATACCCTTTATTCTACTTTCCCTGGTATTAAGGTCTTACATAACTGTTGTACAATGACCAAGAAGAGGAAATTAACATCAGTATAGTGTTACCAACTACACTTCAGACTTTATTTGAATTTCACTAATCCTTCCCTTTTTCTATTCCAGGATCCAATCTAGAATCCCACACTGCATTCTTATTATTGTTTTTCCTTCTTTTTTTTTGTATTCTGTAACAGTTTCTCAGCATTTCCTTGTCTTTCATGACCTCGACCATCTTGAAGAATATCAGTCAGTTTTTTGTAAGATGTCCCTCTTGGCCAGGCATAGTGGCTCAAGCCTATAATCTCAGCACTTTGGGAGGCTGAGGCAAGCCTGAGCCCACGGGTTTGAGACCAGCCTGGGCAACTTGGCCAGACCTTGTCTCTACAATAAGTCAAAAAAATTAGCCGGGCGTGGTGGCACATGCCTGTAGTTCCATCTATTTGGAAGACTGAGGCGGAAGGATCGCCTGAACCCAGCCGGTCAAGGCTGCGGTGGCCATGAGTATGCCACTGTACTCCAGCCCAGACAACAGAGTAAGACTCCATCTCAAAAAAAAAAAAAAAAAGATGTTCCTCTTTGGGGTTTGTCTGATGATGTTTTCTTGTGATTGGAAAAAGTTGTAAATTTTGGCCTTCTTTTGTGGTTTCTTTTTTTGCTGTTTTTTGGAAGCATGACTTATTGAAAGGACAGAAAAACTTCCACAGTGGAAGGGGACCCGAGGGAGTTGCCTCTTTTTTTTTTATTTTTATTTTTAAGTTGGAGTCTTACTCTCTCGCCCAGGATGGAGTGCAGTGGCACGCTCACGGCTACTGCAGCCTCAACCTCCTGGGCTCAGGTGATCCCTCTGCCTCAGCCTTCCAAGTAGCTGGAGCCACAGGCATGCGCCACCACACCCAGCTAAGTTACTGGTTTATTGTAGAAACTAGTTCTCACCAAGTTGCCCAACAGGTCTCAAAGCCCTGGACTCAGGCAATCCTCTCGCTTCTGCCTCCCAAAGTGCTGGGATTATAGGCGTGACCCACAATGCCCAGCTTCTTTTGTGGCTTCTTCATGAATTAAATATTATGAAATGTTTGTCCCAGTTGTCAAAGTACCCCATAACAGTTTTAACTGTTATCCTAGGTTCTAGAAAGAAATGAGCTCAAACCTTGCTTAGAGAACAAGCTGCAAGTGATGGAGGGGAATAAAAAAATAAAACAAAGAAACCAAACAGAACAGACCACCTCCTCATTCACAAAGCAAAGTGTGAATGTGATGGAAAGTGAGATGCGCCTTGTTAGCAGATGTGGTTTAGCACACAAAAGACCAAAAAGTATCCCTGCATTCCTGCCGAGTATTTCAGACTACCTCTTTGTTGCTAATCTTGACATTCCAAACATAGCTCTCCTCAACTGCAGTGTTTACCTTCCTAACTCTTCCACTTTCCTTTTTTCTTTCTTTCTTTTCTTTTCCTTCCTTCCTTCCTTCCTTCCTTCCTTCCTTTCTTTTTTTTTTTTGAGTTGGGGTATCACTCTGTTGCCCAAGCTGCAGCACAGTGGCACAGTCATGGCTCAACATTCCTGGCTCAGGTGATCCTCCTGCCTCAGCCTCCTGAGTAGCTGGAAATACAAACACACGCCACCATACCCAGCTAATTTTTTATTTTTTGTAGAGACGAAACCTTGCTATGTTGCCCAGGCTGCTGTCAAACTCCTGGGCTCAAGCAATCCTCCAGCCTCAGCCTCCTAAAGTGCTACGATTAGGAGGCATGAGCCACTGCGCCCAGCTTTCCTCTTGTCTTCACTCCCCAATTTTATTTTTTATTTTTTTGAATTTGAGTTTCACTCTGCTGCCCAGCCTGGAGTGCAGTGGCATGCTCATGGCCGCCGCAGCCTCAACCTGCTGGGTTCAAGCGATCCTTTCACCTCAGTCTTCCAAGTAGCTGGAACTACAGGCACGTGCCACCACGCCCGACTAATTTTTTTATTTATTGTAGAAATGAGGTCTCATTATGTTGCTCAGGCTGATCGCGAACCCCTGAGCTCAGGCAATCCTGTCATCTCCACCTCCCAAAGTGCTGGTGTTACAGGCTTGAGCCACCGGTCCCGGCAGAACTCACCACTTTGGGGGAGCCCCCACTTTGCTACTGTTGGCAGGGTTCCCCCCCTGTTGCAGATGTCAAAGAGATTGGATATTCCTTCTCCATGATCTCTTGCCAGCACCCATGCACAAGGTCAACCCAGCACATAATTCTGCTCAGAACACTGAAGTGCGCAGAATTAAAATAGGCACCACCAAGGAAATTCCAGAGAAAGCTCTGCTGCATTCTGGAGGAGCAATGTGGCACTGTGAAAACACCACAATAGTTTTAGGGTCAGGTAGGCTGGAATGGGGTTTCTCCTGTGTTTTGTAATCTTATGCAGTAAGCTTATCCTTAGGAGGCTCCTTCTGCGGAAATCTCCAGTGGCCCGACTCAGAACTGTGTCCTCCAGGGTTGTGTGGTGTTTGCATCGGCCAGGCAGCCACAGGACTGGGAGAACTGGACTACACACAAGGTAGAGATGAGAGACAAGAACCCATGTGAGGATGCTTGCCTGGTCACACATTCTCAGGGAACACTTAGCGTCCATCCAAAGCCCAGATAAAGATGGTCATACACACACACACACACACACACACACACACACACACACACACACACACAAAACAAGTGCATGCACATAGGCAAATGCACACACATGTGCCCACACACACAGGGTAGCATGGCTCTTGAGGTGTACTCTGTCTTTATGTACTGGGTCTCATTTTCAACTTCCTGCTTTATGTTTACCCAAGGCCACCATTAAAGCCCCAGTCTCTTTGTGATCAAGAAAGGCTAGCCAGCCTGTAATCCCACACTTTGGGAGGCTGAGGTGAGTGGATTGCCTGAGCCCGCGGGTTTGAGACCCACCTGGGCAACTTGGCGAGACCTCATCTCTACAATAAATCAAAAAATTAGCCGGGCATGGTAGTGCACGCCTATAGTTCCAGCTACTGGAAGGCTGAGGCAGAAGGATCGCCAGAGCCCAACAGGTCAAGCCCAACAGTGGCCAGGAGCCACTGACTGGAGACTCCAACTCAAAAAAAAAAGAAAGGTAGACCCCCATAGGGTAGCCCAGTGTCTGCTTGTACATGCCACTTGATTTTAGCTTCTTCTTCTTAAACCCAAAGGATTTCCCTTACTTTCTTGTTTTTTGTTTGTTTGTTTGTTTTTGAGTCAGGATCTCACTCTTGCCCAAGCTAGAGTGCAGTAGCACAGTCATGGCTCACCACAGCCTCAACCTCCTGGGTTCAGGTGATCCTTCTGTCTTAGCCTTCCAAGTAGCTGGGATTACAGACACATGCTATAGCACTCAGCTACTTTTTTTATTTTTGTCAAGATGAGGTCTCACTATGTTGTCCAGGCTGGTCTCAAGTAATCCTCTCTCCTCAGTCTCCTTAAGTGTTGGGATTACAGGCATGAGCCACTGCACCCAGCCTGAACTTTCCTTACTTTCAGACGAGTTAATCTGTGTTTTAAGGCATATTTTTATGTCAGCCAACATTTCTATGGGGAGCCAGCCTTGGAGGTCCACATGATTGACAGGGTCCCGGTGGGCCGAAGACCCCGGGCCACAGGGCGAGCCTGGGAAGCTGAGGCCCTTCTGTCTTCCACCTTTGCTGTTTGATACGGCTGAAGAAATTCTGTGCAGTCGTGGAAGAAGAAAATGGCATGTTTATGCGAAGTACTCACACCTAACCTGAGAATATCATGGTTCATTTTCCCATTTTCCCACTATGTCGCTTGGCCTTTTCTAATATATGCAAGGGTTAAACTCTGAAGCAAATCAAGAATGCTTTCTTTCACTTGGTTATAAGTTACTAGATATTGCTTGAGTAAAAAATGATATAAGTATATTCACTCCTTATTTGATTTAGAATTATGCAGCTTAGTGGTCAGACATAAGGTTTTTTAGAAGCACAAGTTTATGGTAAGTTCATTATGAGCTCATTATAAGTTCTAACACTTATCTAGGAGTTATGTAGGTGATTTACAACACTGTCTTCACAGACTTAGGATAAAGATTAATCATTAAAGTTTTTACTTAATTCTATAGTTAAATTTTAAGTAAACGTTTATAGAGTGGGTTTTCACTGAATTCATAATATACTAATTAGATACTTTTATGATAATTAACTAAATACAGAAAGCAATCTTGAGGGCCTGGGAAATGTCATTAAAAGCTTCTTTTGAGTTTTCTTTAGAAATAAACACTGCAGGATAAGAGAAAAGTAACAAAGACACCTGGACAAGAAAGGCGATTACAAAAGCTTTGAAGGTCGTAAAAGCCCAAAAAGAGAAGAACTGCTACACGAAGAACCGTGCACCTGGGAACTTTCTTGAAGCACTTCAAGGACTGTAATTTGGGACTCTTTTGAAGAAAGTTGCTGGCAGTGCTATTCTAGACATGATAATTGTTTTATCCATGTATTAATCATAATTGTTATATGTAATATCATACAAGTTTATATAATCAATATACATATGTATGAGGGTTGACAAAAATTATTAGGCTTTGGTTATGTTTAACAAGGTTTTTACTTTGTGTCATTAATTAAGTCTTAGTGCTATAGTTTAGTGTTTTATAGCTACTTTGAAGATTGTTTTAAGTTCATAAGTTTAAGTTCACACAATGATAAAGCTGGTGCCTCAAAGATAATAATAATTGCTCCACCGCCTATCTTAAGACAAAGATGTTTTCCAGGAGGTTGCCAAGCATAAGGGAAAACAGCCAAATCACCATTATCCTAAACTTAAAAGCTCATTGGCAATTATGCAACCATAATAATTTTAGTTGTGTTAGTTTTATTTCATTATGTTTCATTCACTTTATATGTTTATCCAGAGTAAAGATTAGTGTACGTATTTTCACAGTAAGTGACTTTCATAGTTATTCTTTAAATGCTAGCCACTGTTGTTTGGTCAAGTTAATGGGCTTCATGTTCCTACTATCACTAGGTACAATCTATAGTTTTGTACTAGTGATTTTAAGGCTTTTTTAATTAGACTAGTGATGTGGAACCAAAGTCAAAGTAAACCTTGTATGCATTATGTTTAGTTTAAGTGAAACTCCTTTTACACTTATCTCAAGACTCATTAACTGAAAGTAGATAGTGTTTTTGGCTTATTCGTTTCTTCTAAAGACCGCTAGATGGTGGTAACTTTTAAAACATATGTACGTGAAGGAATTTTCTTTGTCTTGCCCCTTTTACAAATGCTATAAAAAGCTTTCTGTTAACTAATAAAGGATGTCATCTGTTCAGGAAGCAGGTGTCCGGGAATATTGTGTCCGGCTTTCGCCTATCCCTCTCTCCTTCAGGAGATCTCACAACCTGGCAAAAGGAGCTGGACCCCTAAACATTTCCATGAGTTTTGCATTAAGAGGATTTGAAGGTTTTCCAATCCACTATTTTTTCCAAAATTCAGGTCTCCAGGCTTAAATCTGAACACTGGCTTTGGCACTTCTTAGCTGAATGCCCTTTGACAAATCACTTCACCTTTTTAAACCTTCATTTCTTCCTCTGTAGTATAGGGAAGGCTGTTGGGAGGATTACCATGTTACCCAGGCTGGTCTCAAACCCCTGGGCTCAGACAAATCTCTTACCTCCACTTCCCAAAGTGCTGGGATTATAGGCCCGGCAGTAATTAAGTTTTAAAGGTGTCTGTGTTTGTAACCCCAGCACTTTGGGAGGCAGAGGCGAGAGGATTGCCTGAGTCCTGGGGTTCGAAACCAGCCTGGGCAACTTGGTGAGACCTTGTCTCTACAATAAATCAAAAAATTAGCCGGGCGTGGTGGCGCAAGCGCCTGTAGTTTCAGCTACTTGGAAGGCTAAGGCAGAAGGATCGCCCGAGCCCAGCAGGTCAAGACTGCGGTGCCGTGAGCGTGCCATTTACACGGAATGAGACTCCAACTCAAAAAAAAAAAAAAAAAGTGCCTGTGTCACCCACCATCCACAGGCACCATCCCTCAGTACCACTACAAACTGTCTAATCAAAATGTCCCCAGTTCCCACCTGTTTCAATGGCTCTTTTTGCTGCAAGATACTGATTATCGTTAATATTTGCAATCCATGGGCGCAGTCCTAGTGTCATGGAAACAGCCATCTGGTTGGAACTATTTCTTTTGGAGAAGACATCTTGGAGATGCTGCGTTACCTAAAAAATGACATTTTCAAGAATGAGAGAGAATTTCAAGTTATTTTTCTCATACAGTCGATATCATCTTTCATCAAGCAACTGGTTGAAATCCCAACCTGGCAAATCTGAGTGGGGTGATTTTACCTTTGCTCTGCCAGAGGATATGACATACAGTGAGCTCCTTCTTCAGGGCTTTGAGCAGGAAGCTCTGCCCCCCAGTCCCCACAGGGAGAAACATTCACTCCCTTTCCCCTCCAGCTGCCCCCTTACAATCCCCAACCCTGGCCACGCCCTCTTTTTACCACAGTGTCTGACACACAGAGGTGTTTAAGTAAGGTTTGTTTAAAATTAGGAAACAATACAAAGAGGATGTCTCCATTTGAATAGCCCTCTTTTCGGACTTATCAGTGCTCTAGTGAATATTCTGGGAATGTTAGGCATTTGGGAAATTTCCAAGAAGTGGGAGCAATTCCAAGCTAAACTGTAGAGAAGACTCATTTTTCAGCATCATTCTCTCCCCATTTCTGCTGGGAAAAACGCTACACTCGAATATTTCTCCCGTTTATTCCTTCAACAAGACTTTATGGAACACCTGTCATGTGCCAGGCACTGTTCTAGGTGCTGCAGATGTGCTGTGAACATGAACATGATCTTGCCTCTGTGGAATATGAGAAAGTCTTACCCTTGTAAGAGGGACTATACAACCAAAAAGTAGGGAGGGAAGGAAAGAAGGAAGGGGGACAAAGAAGGGAGGCAGGGAATCTTACCATTAAACTAATTTTAGAGGGAAGGAAGGAGGGAGGGAGAAAAAGGAGGGAGGGAAGAGGAGGGAGACTAGTTTAAAATGTAATTAGTACCAACAAGACAGCAGAAGAGGGTAATGGAATCAGGAGGAACTGACCATTGATATGAAGTATTTCTTTGTCATTTATCCAAAAATCTCTGTTAAACTAACTTGAGGTAAATTGGTGATTGGTTGGTAATTTAGATATATAACTCCTTCTGGATAACATTTTCATGAAAATGGCTGCTTCCAGAGTGTTGATTTCAGACATGCTGAGAGAACTTGTGCTTGGGGCCTGAGATGTTCTGGCTCCATCCAAGCATGGGCAGTTCTCTACTCCATCTATATGTAAGACCCATCTCACTTTTATAGCTTGGTAATTTTTAAACATTTCCTATCGCTCCAGCTCCAAGTGGTTATTTATCTGACTACTGTAATTGCATGTAATTAAAGAAAGAGATTTTTACTGAACAAAAATTATGTTGGTTTCTTGACATTTGTTCTAGTCCTTTTTGCATTGGAAAAAATGACACTTCAAAGGTAACAAGTGGATTGCTCACTAAACTGTGACATGTGGTATTTTAAAATGGTGTTTCCAGGTAGAATGACAATGAACATTTGTTACCTGTTTTTCCACCACAGACAGATTCATGTGGGGGACTAGACGGATTGAAAATTTTCCTATAACTCGGCCAGGGATGACTGTTTTCGCTCCAGGGTCATCAAACGCACCCTCAATCCCATGAATTGAAAGAGACGGGTACCTCCAGAGGTGCATTAGAATTTCCTCCTAAATTAAAACAAAGTTATCCAAAAACTGTTTAATTGGCTCAGTTGAATTTGTGTATTGCCAAACTCTATCTATCCGAGACATCATTCCTGACAACTTTATTATCACCTGACATGGATATGCTGGACTGATGATACAAGGTGTACTTTTCCCTCAGCACATGAACCTTCTCACTGTCTTCAGATGCCTCTACCTACCCAAGCTGCTCCCCACTGACGAGGGTCCCCTTTGCCCAAGTGCTGTCATTTGCAGTTAACAGATGGCAAAGGGACCCTTTCAGAAAGTTGGGTGTAATTATCAATTTCTATCCCCAATTGTTGTAATGATAACTGTGTACTAATTGTATTATTTTATTATTTGCAAAGACTTCGAAGAACTCTTCAGATGCGTGAACCAGTTTTCTTTTTCTTTTTTAATTTTTTGAGTTTGGGGGCCTCACTCTGTCACCCTGGCTGGAGGGCAGTGGCACAATCATGGCTTACTACAGCCTCCGCCTCCTGGACTCAGACATTTCTCCCACCTCAGCCTCTCAAGTAGCTGGGACTACAGACGTGTACCACCACGACCAGCTAAAAATTTTGTTGTAGAGAGATAGGGTCTCACAATGTTGCCCAGGCTGGTCTTGAACTGGACTCAAGCAACCCTTCTACCTCAGCCTCCCAAAGTGCTGTGATTCCAGGTATGAGCGACCTTACCCAGTCAGTTTTTACTTTTTTTTTTAGTCAGAGTTTCACTCTGTTGCCCAGGCTGGAGTGCAGTGGTACCCTCACGGCCACCACAGCCTCGACCTGCTGGGCTCAGGCAATCCTTCCACCTCAGCCTTCCAAGTGCTGGAACCACAGGTGTGCACCACCATGCCCGGCTAATTTGTATTTATTTATTATAGAGATGAAGTCTCACCAAGTTGCTCAGGCTGGTCTCGAACCCCTAGACTCAGGCAACTGTCTCGCCTCCACCTCCCAAAGTGCTGGGATTATAGGTGTGAGCCACCACGCCTGGCCTCAGCTTTCTTTTCCTTATGGCCATCATAGAGCTAGTCTGAGGGAAGAGATATGCTTCAAAATAATAAACGCTACCACTTTTTGTCAGTGCGGTTTTCCTTCTCTCGATAGCCCCCACCCCAGGAACCAGCTACAGTTACCAAACCCCTGTCATACCCACGTTACCAAGAAGGAAGAAGAGGAGGAGGAGAAAAGAGAAAACAAATCTAAATTTGCCATGAAGATGTGTTTTGGCTTTGTGTTTACTTAGAACACTGAGGCAACAATGTATTAATTTACAGATTAGCCTTAAGGCTTTTGGCTTCATCTGGGAAAATGACCCATGAGAGGTCACAGAGCTGGAATAATCTCAGATTAATTCAGTCTTTGAATAGGTAAGAAGCCCAGCTCACTGGCTGAAGGCTGGTGTGAGATCAATGTAAAGTCAACTGCTTTGGCAAAGCACAGTTGTGAAATGGATAATGGCTTGTGGGTAGGTGCCTGAAGACAAGCCGATCGGACCCCAGAAAAAAGACCAGTTGATCGGGACCACAGGAAAGTGGCCATGAAAGTCAAAATCCAGGCCGGGCTCGGTGGCTCAGCCTGTAATCCCAGCACTTTGGGAGGCCAAGGCGAGAGGATTGCCTGAGTCCGCGGGTTTGAGACCTGCCCGGGGAACTTGGCGAGACCTCGTCTCTACAATAAATCAAAAACAGCCGGGCATGGTAGCGCGTGCCTGTCCGTGCCTGTAGTTTCAGCTGCTTGGAAGGCTGAGTAGGAAGGCTCGCCAGAGGCTGGCAGGTCGAGGCTGTAGTGGGTGGGAGTGTGCCACTGCCCTCCAGCCTGGGTGACAGAGTGAGACTCTAACTCAAAAAAAAAAAGTCAAAATCCGCCTAGGAATTAACCTCTGCTTTGGGTTCTGAAAAGCACAGGTTAGCACCACACAGTAAATTAGACATTGGGAAAAGATCATCTGTTGCCATCATTGGTCTTTCAGATTACCCATCCATTTGTGGCCATACCTTCGTGTCAAACAGGAATTTCTCCACTTGGCTGCTATTCCGGTATTCTTCTAGGTCCAGATCAATGGCTTTGTACATATGTATTTCTTCTTCTGTAAGAGGAGCCACCTGGTCATAGATTCCGGGGATCAGAATATGACCAGATGAGTCTACCAGGCTACCTACAAAACACACAAAGGAAACTAAGCCAGGTAGGAATGACAAGGGTGGCCATGGGGTGACTCTTCTGGGTTCAACAACCTTATGATGCCCCGGCCCCCATGACCCCATTGGCAGCAACTCCATCCAAGAGGTGACAATCAGAGGAAGGAGCTGGTCTCCAGACCGACTCAGCCAGCTTCAGACCTTCATTAGCGTTCACCTTGGCAAAGTTAGGGCTGGAAAATCCTGGGCTGCAGTGGGTGAGGTCAGAATGACTCACCTGCACCACATTCAAGTTCCCAACTATGCCTTTTGTATCATAAACAAGGTTCATTTAGTTTTATCTTATGCTGAGTTAAAAGATAATACATAGGGCAACCCCCTCGGGTCCCCTCCCACTGTGGGAGCTTTTCTCTCCTCTCAATAAATCCTGCTTTCAAAAAAAAAAAGATAATACAAAGCCTGGAGTGGCGGCTTAGGCCTGTAATTCCAACGCTTTGGGAAGTGGAGGCGAGAGGATTGCCTGAGCTCAGGGGTTCGAGACTAGCCTGAGCAACATAGTGAGACCTCGTCTCTACAATAAATCAAAAATTAGCCAGGCATAGTAGTGCGCACCTGTAGGTTGCACATGCCTGTAGTCCTGGCTACTTGGAAGACTGAGGTAGAAGGATGGCCTGAGCCCAGCAGGTTGGGGCTGCAGTGACTGTGATCATGCCCTGCACTCCAGCCTGGGTAGTAGAGTGAGACTCTGACTTAAAAAAATAATAAAGGCGGTCAGGCCTGGTGGCTCAGCCTGTAATCTCAGCACTTTAGGAGGTCAAGGCAAGTGAATTGAGCCTGCGGGTTCGAGACCAGCCTGGACAACTTGGCCAGACCCCATCTCTACAATAAAAAACCAAAAATTAGCCAGGCGTGGTAGTGCGTGCCTATAGTTCCAGCTGCTTGGAAGGCTGAAGCGGAAGGATCACCAGAGCCTAGAAGGTCAACACTGGTATGGCCGTGAGCATGCCACTGCACTCCAGCCTGGGCGACAGAGTGAGACTCCAACTCAGAAAAAAAAAAAAAATCAGCTGGGCGTGGTGGTGTGCGCCTGTAGTTCCATCTACTTGGAAGGCTGAGACAGAAGGATCACCTGAGCCCAGGAAGTTGAGGCTGTGGTGGCCGTGAACGTACCACTGCACTCCAGCCTGGGTGACACAGTGAGACTCCCACTCAGAAAAAAAAGGAAAAGAGCTTCTTCCTCAGGCAGGAGGCAGAACACCATGTTCCAGCCACCATGGCAAGTGTTCTACATGCATCATCTTACTGGATTCCCAAAGCAATACTGGGTAAATGTCCCTTTTACAGATAAGAGAAAGCCAAGGACAAAAGAACTTAAGTACTCTCCCCAAGTCATGCAACTGGTCTAAGGAAAAGCAAGAGCACACTTGGTCACTTCCGCCCAGAACCTGCATGCTGCAGACATGACCTCTGTGTGCGCAGGCTGGCCTGCCAAAGGCTCGTCTAGCATAACACAAGAGGGTCTCAGGAAAGTGGGTGAGGCTGTGCCATGGCTCACGCCTATAATCCTAGTACTTAGGGAGGCCAAGGTGAGAGGATTGCCTGAGCCACAGGTTTGAGACCAGCCTGGGCAACACGGTGAGACCTCGTCTCTAAAATTAAAAAAAAAAAAAAAGCCGGGCTCAGTGGCTCAGCCTGTAATCCCAGCGTTTTCGGAGGCTGAGGTGAGTGGATTACCTGAGCCAGTGGGTTCGAAACCCGTCTGGGCAACTTGGCGAGACCTCATCTCTACAATAAATCAAAAATTAGACGGACATAGTAGTGCACACCTGTAATTTCAGCTACTTGGAAGGCTGAGACAGAAGGATCGCCGGAGCCCAGCAGGTCGAGGCTGCGGTAGCCGGGAGCGGCCACTGCACTCCAGTCTGAGCGACAGAGTGAGACTCCAGCTCAAAAAAAAAAAATTAGCTGGGCGTGGTAGCCTGAGCCCAGCAGGTTCAAGAAGGATCACCTGAGTCCAGCAGGTCGAGGCAGCAGTGACCGGCAGTGTGCCACTGCACTCCAGTCTGGGCAACGGAGTGAGACTCCAACTCAAAAAAAGAAAGTGGGTAAAGGGACTCATCAGTATGTCACTTAGTTCCTTTCCCCTTTGGTCATCCCTTTGTTGATTTGTCTTCAGTCAAAAAAGTCATGCCAGGTCTACCAAAGTTGAATTTTAAGTTCAACTGGCTTGAGAATACCATGCATCCTACACTAGTCTGTGTCCTAGGAGCAGCAGAGACGGAGTCAGGGTGGCTCTTGGTCTTTTATTTTTATTTTACTTAAATTTTTTGAGTTGGGGTCTCACTCTGCCGCTCAAGCTGAACTGTAGTGGCACAATCACAGCTCACTGCAGCTTGGATCTCCTGACTCAGGTGATCCTTCTGCCTCAGCCCCCCAGTAGCTGGGACTATAGGCACGGACCATCACACCCAGCTAATTTGTTTGATTTTTTTTTAGAGGTGAGATCTTGCTATGTTGCCCAGGCTGGTCTCAAACTCCTGGGCTCAAGCAATCCTCCTTCCTTGGCCTCCCTGTAATGCTGGGATTACAGGTGTGAGCCACCGTGCCTGACAGTCTTGTATCCTTTGAATCTCTGCCCTCTTGTCCTTGAGCATGGCCAGATATGTTACAATATCCAATAAAAGAAAAAGGGGTTACTGGGAGAAGTCCATGAAAAAAAAAATAACATGAACTGACTTATAATCCTAGGGAACAATCAGCCAAGGGGAAGAAAATCTAAGAATATGGTTTACTTCTACCATACCCTTATGCAGAGTTGGCTCAGAAACCAAAGAATGAGAGACAGAGTCAAACAGAATTGTGTTTTAGTAGATCCCTTGATGCTGAAAAAGTGAAATAAGGCGGGGTGTGGTGGCTCCCGCCTGTAATCCCAGCACTTCGGGAGGCTGAGGTAGGAGAATTGCTTGAGGCCAGGGGTTCAAGACCAGCCTGGGCAATATAGCAAGCCCTCATCTCTGAAAAACATCAAAAAATTAGTCATGCATGACGGCATGTGCCTGTAGTCCCAGCTATTCAAGAGGCTGAGGGGGAAGAATCGCCTGAGCCCAGGAGGTTGAGGCTGTGGTGAGCTACGATCCATGCCACTGCCTGGGCTACAGAGTAAGACCCCTGACTCAAAGAAAAAAGTGAAATAAAACAAGGCATTACCGAGAAGAGCAACCAGATCAGCCATGGGTTCATTAAGGATGCCACCAAAGGTTCCTGAGTGGAAATCTTGATCTCTGCATTTCACCTGTAATAAAGAGAAGAGCCGTACTCACTGCCTTGGTTCCTTCAGCAAAAGAATGTCTCACGGTGAAAGACAGCCCAGATGTGTCCCTCTGTGCTCAGGTGGGCGACATCCAGACTGACTCCATTTTCTGGTGTTTCTCAGTCACATGACATGGACTCTCAGTCGCTCTCTTCATTCCCACTGTTCTCCGAATCCTCTGGAACTGACTTCATTCCCCAATTCTTTTTTTTTTGTTTTTAAGTTGGTGTCTCACTCCGTCGCCCAGGCTGGAGTACCGTGGCACACTCACGGCCACTGCAGCTTCGACCTGCTGGGCTCAGGCGTTCCTTCTGTCTCAGCCTTCCAAATAGCTGGAACTACAGGCATAGGTTACCACGCCCGGTTAATTTTTTGATTTATTGTAGAGATGAGGTCGCGCCAAGTTGCCCAGGTTGTTCTTGAACCCATGGGCTCAGGCAATCCTCTCACCTCGGTCTCGCAAAGTGCTGGGATTACAGGCTTGAGCCACCATGCCAATTCTTCCACTAACACAGTTCTGCCAATATTGCCCAGCCCTCCTTGGCCAAATGACTGATCTCCACACAGTTGTCTTCCTCCTGGTTTCATCCTATACTCCTGATCATCCCTCTTTCTGGAAAAATCCTCCTCCCTTGGTTTCTGAGAAACTTTCTTCTCTTTATTTTATTTATTTTTGAGTCAGAGTCTCACTCTGCTGCCCAGGATGGAGTGCAGTGGTACGCTCATGGCCACCACAGCCTTGACCTCCTAAGCTTAGGTGACTCATCCACCTCAACCTCCCAAGTATCTAGGACTACAGGCATGGCCCATCATGCCCAGCTAATTTTTTTTACTTTTTTTTTGGTAGAGACGAGGTCTTGATATGTTCCCCAGACTGGTCTTGAACTCCTGGGCTCAAGAGATCCTCTTACCTTAGCCAACCAAAGTGCTGGGATTACAGGCATGAGTCACTGTGCCTGACTAATTTAAAAATTTTTTTTGTAGAGACAAAGTCTTGCTAGGCTGATCTCAAACTCTTGGCCTTAAGCAATCCTCCCACACTGGCCTCCCAATGTCCTGGGATTACAGGTAGGTACCAGTTTCTAATAGGTTGGTTTTTTTATTTTTATTTTTGAGTTGGAGTCTCACACTGTTGCCCAGGCAGGAGTGCAGTGGCATGATCACGGTCATCGCATCCTCGACCTGCTAGGCTCAGGTGATCCTTCTACCTCAGCCTTCCAAGTAGCTGGAACTACAGGCATGTGCCACGACGCCTAGCTAATTTTTTGATTTATTGTAGAGACGAGGTCTCACCAAGTTGCCCAGGCTGGTATGAAATAAAATAAAATAAAATAAAATAAAATAAAATAAAATAAAATACTGTCACTTCAGCTCATTCCTTCCCGTTTTTCCTGTCCTGCTGGTCTTTTCCTACTGTGTACCATCTTTAAAATACCACGAGGAGCCGGGCTCAGTGGCTCAGCCTGTAATCCCATGCCTTTGGG